GCGATTGTATATCAGTCTTTCCAGGGTCTTTACAAGCAGACTTGTAAGAGAGATAGGACGATAATTCTTGACTAGATCTTTTTAAATATATAGGGTTTTGTTGTGGCAAGCATCCTACTAGGATCACAAATGTCGATAGCTTTCTACACAGAAATAGCACTTAACTTCTTTTGGGTTTGTATATTCTGGTCGTGATTGGATTGTTGTTTCAGTGACGTTATGAAAAGGTGGGAACAATTTTTTTTATGCTGTTTTTTTTCCTCTTTCTTAAACAATCAAAGTTTTGTGTGTCACTTTCGGTGTAAACTTGAAATTGTAGAAAGTAAAGAAATTTAATGCTCAAGTTTTCAAGTTAGTTTTGCACACTTCTTTGACGTCAAGGCGAACACAAATTTTAACCGAGGAGATTGAATCGATTCAAACACAAAGAATTTCTGATATGATATCTTGTTACCTTTTCTTTCTGCAGACCTATGCCGGCGTGCTAGTCGTGGATCGTATTTCTTCTTTTTGTCAAACCAATACGAGCAGGAGAGAGTTTTACCAAGTTCATTTAATCTCTGTTAATAAGCCTTTACACGTTAAGTTATCTTTCTGTACAGATTAAAAGACCAGCAAACGCCAATCGAGTGGGTATATAGTCTTTGTATGGCAGTTATCGAAACCAACTCTTCCCATTTTGTATACTATTCCCACTTAGCTATCGGAGTTTAGCATTACGTTAGGAGGTGTATTGTCACTCCTCCTCTTATGGGATGAAAATATGCAATCCCCTTCTTTCTTAGTCAGCATTCGTTCAGTTTACATGATAGTTACCTGATGCATACAGTGGGTTAGGGAGTGGCACTTTTATACAATCCTTCTTGCCCAAGATCACTGCATAATAACCCGTGCGAGGTTTGAAACAGACTATTTTGACACTAAAATACAAAAAAGTCTTGTAAAAGCTTTTTTTCCCCTCTTTTTCCGCTAAAACGTCCTCTAGTCGGAAGTTAAAGCTTGCACCAGTCAGGGCAAAGTAGGTCCACAACGCGTGCACGGTGGTTCGTTGCTATGCGATTTCCTCCTATAGTGTCCCTGTCGTCACGTGATCCAACAGGTCTTTGTTGTTTTCGCGTTCGATGGCTCAGTAGCGGTGGAGATATTGAAATTCGCTGCTCGGCAATACAATAAACAATATGAATACATTTGCATCTTACACAGTTGCCCAACATTCCAGTTATGGCTTTCTAATAATAAAGCTTGCATACGCTTCCGTTTGGTAACGAAAAGCGAGTTTTACTCAGTCCCTTTCTGAGACAAATTCCTGGTTTAAACGCTAGCTAAAAAGGTCAAAATCGTTACTTTCAGGGGTAGGTATATTCTTCCCATAGTAAAGTATTTTTATGCTTTCGGGACCCCCCCTTAGGCTTGTGTTTTCGAGGTGAAATCGTTTAAGAATGTGAATTTGGCGCGTTGTGAGGGGGAAATCCATCCTGGGTAATTTTCTATTCTCGCTGTATCCTACCTATCACAAATAAAAAAGCTTTATCGTTATATGTAGACTCCGTTTGTTTGTATTTTCAATCGTGGAAACCGTAAATTTGTACATTTTAAACCCCGATTTTATCGAGCGCTCGATGCTTCTTGCTGGCAGCCATATTGGATTCTCTACAGATCGCCGATCGTTGTGTATAATTACGGCAGTGAAAATACCATTCGAGGAAGAGTCTTCGTATGGCCAGCAATTTTTCAGGGGATAAACGGGACGATAGGTAAGCAAAGCAATTCTGAACGTCGAATTTGCGTTTGTGTGGTTATGTTGAATAACTTAAATCTCTTGCTCACTTTGCCGTCGAAAACGCAGAAAATGCAATAAGCCCTAATTCTCACCAAGGACGCTGTGGTTCTAGTAGAACTTTTCACGCATTCTGGAAGAGTTCATCTTCACATGTAGCTTTGAAAAGAAAAGGAGAGTTACAAGAACAAAACAAAAGGCTAACACAGGACATTGAAGCCAAAAAGGCTCGGCTGGATGAATATGGTAATATTATAACTTTGAGTGTTTTCGAAACGTGCAAAAGATTTCATTTTTACCACCATGCTACTCTGAAGTTCGAACGGAAAATTAAGTTATGTATGTACAACATTCTGTTCCTTAGTATTTTATTTACATGTGATTGCAAAAAATGTTGAGATCTAATTTCTCTGTTTGTTTTTTTTTGGTTTTTTTTTAAGAGGGACAAATACAAACTTCTGTTGCTCAGAAAGATGCAATAGAAGAAGAGCTAAAAAGCCTTCAAAAGAGTGTGGAAGAAAAGGAAGATCAAGTAAAGCAACAAGAGGAAAAAGTAACACAATTAAATGAGCAATATCACAAATTTAAATCTCTGCTTGAACAAAAAGGCTTTTCAGTAGCTAGGAGAAAAAATGCCAGTACAACTTATGATATGATTACAAATGTCAATTCCAGCACTAAGTACAGATGAAGACAGGAGACAAAAAATGTATTAGAATTTATTCATGGGGGAAAAGAAGGGTCAATATATGGGGCTTGGGGTTATATTTCATCTACTGCTGACAATCAAACCATTGACAAACTGATTTCTGGACTTAAACGAGGGAAATATCTCCAGGGTCTGTTTGACAAGACAATGAAAGGGTATCAAAATTCGGATGAGGCTTTGAAACAAGCTGTTTTTATGAAGTACCAGAACTTTCTGTCTTGCAGAAAGTATGCCCTTGTCTGCAAAACTCAGTCTTCAGTTTTTGATCCAAACTCTGATCTATGGGTACCCCGTAACATAAAATGTTTAGGTTTGGACTTAAGGGTGCCAAAATATAGCTATTTCTGACAAACGGTTGGGGAATTTTGTGAGAAGTCTTGACATTGGTCATGTTAATCAAATTAATGTTAATGTAACTGTGTGGACAGTAGGGTATGCCATACCATATCATGCAACTAAACTGAAATTTACAAAGTGGGTTATGGTATAATATCATTACAGGCAAAAGAGGCTAAACATTCAGGGGTTAAAAATGACTTGGATTTGACAAACAGATCCGATACAACAACTGCAAAAGGGAAATGGTGGCAAGTCATGAGAGCTAATTATGTAAGAGCATTTTATTTGCCAGAACATCAACCAATGCCAAGTTCTTATACTTCTCACTTTAAGTCTCGGCTTCCTTCTCAGCTAAATTCAAGCAGCTTTTGCAATTGTGGAAGAGAAAAGGAAATAAATGATTATATATATGAGGTATGTGTAGATGCCAGGGTGACTGTCCAGTGTGCAGAGGGACAGCAACTAATACCTGAAGTACTTTCAACATTAAAACCAGTCCTATGCTCAGTATGTAATGAGAGATTTCCTGATACTGTAACATACGAGGCTCATAAAAGTGTTCACTTATGCAGCAAACAGCCTGTTGGTCCAGTTACAAATAGCCGTAATCTAAACTCTAGAAATATGAAAGTAAGTGACCTAAAAATGGAGTTGCAAAGTAGGCAATTAAGCACTAGTGGAAACAAAGATGTTCTTATGAGACACCTTGAGGGTACATTAGCAAGTGAGACTATATAGAATAAGACTTTTCATTGTCAATGTATCACCAGAAAGCTCCATAATCATATTTTATTACCATTTATAAAGTTTACATAAGTTTATTTTTAACCAGGTAAATTTTAACTGCAATGTCACCTAAGATTATTTATCATTGAAGTTGTAATAAAATTTAAAATAATATATTTTACACACCAGATGGAAAGCTAAATATATTTACTGGAAATACAGTGTCTAGAAAATTTCAACCTGAGACCATGTTGACACAGACGTGTAACTAATGTATGTTTGAAAAAAAAGCTACAAACTCGTGTTTCTTTGATCAACACTAACCTCACAATATTAATTAATATTACCTTGTTTATTCATGAGGCTTTGTAAGCTTTTGTCGAAAACACAATCCTCTGTTGTGTACCGTTGAATATAAAATGTCACCATAGTCTCCTGACTTTTGAGGTTGTATTCAACAACAAAAGGAGTGTTTTTAGATACAACAACGGCTGACCTGCCTCTGTAAACAGACGATAGCTTTCCCTGTGATTTCGGTTGTTGACTGAAATGTTCTTTTCTAAGAACATCCTGGCCTTCGAATCTCGCCGGCGAAAATACTTTCTCCACATTCACACATTCAGAAAAATGCAGCAAAATTTATTAAACACCCTAAATTTTCAAATATTATGGAGAAAGTAAATGAATCAAAAAAATTATCTTACAGGAGGGGACTATTTGAGTAGCATCACGTCTTGCAGAATTCCCTGCTAAAATTGAACGGAGCTGATAAGAAAACTACAGTGAGTTTAGTAATTCAAAACTTGCAAGAGCTTTTAGCAGCTATGATTAGTGACACGTTTCCTGAAAAAAAGGCAAAACCAGCAAAAGTAAGGAGACTCTGTACGCAACAATATAAACAAATTAATGTGTCAGTCACTCTTCTCGAAAAGTTAAACTGGATAAGAAAATCCTATAAACCTTTGCACTCTCGGGAATAATTAAAACGAAAATTTTCAGCAGCATCCAGAAATTTTCAAGCAGAAAGGTGATTAGATATAGGAGTAATATTTCTTAATTTAGCTGTAAAAAGCAGCAAATTGCAACTCCATGTTAATTATCGAGATAACGCACACCTTCGGAGATTTACCGAGGTTAGGTAATGCCACTCGAAAACGTTTGCAAAGTTCATTGAATTTCTTTGCGTGGAAACTGAATTCAATTCTTCACTTCATCTTCATAATTAAAGTAATAAAACACTTTTAGCATGGAATCGTCGGTCATGCGTGCGAAATCACTCCGCCCCTAGAAAAAGAATAAAAAACACATTGAAACACTTTAGAGGCTACACTTAGGGTGGAGAGGGTGAGGGCTCATTAGGTGACTGATCCCTCCCCTAGGTCTCGCTTTATGTATGATTAGCGATGTGACGTGTCAACCGCACCCAGTTCTCAACTTAGTCAGCTAGATATGGATGTTCAACAGCTGTTTACAAGCCTCAAGAAGGAAGCCGAGTGTCCATTGTGTTTAGAAACAGTCAAAGATCCCAAGACACTGCCATGTCTACACTCATTTTGCCTGCGGTGTATCGACAAACACGCAGGATATGCAAAAACAAAGTTAGAAACGACGATCAAATGTCCAGTCTGTCAGGCTTGCTTTCAGATCCCTGAGGGAGACACGTTTGGTAGCCTTCCCACATCTTTTCATTTTAACCGATTGGTGGATCTCCTCGCTCTGAGAGATGGCAGCCACGAGTCTCAGAGATGCAGCAGTTGTGAAGAAAACAACACGGCAACTTGCTACTGCTTTGTTTGCCAGAACTTTCTTTGCAAGGATTGTTTTGACGCTCATCAGCGCCTGAAGGCCACAAGAGGTCATCGCAATGTTTTGATCGAAAATTTGCAAGCGCAAGATGTGGAGGAGTTGATGCACAGACCCGCCATGTGTGCAAAGAAATATCACGAGAATGAACCGCTTGATTATTATTGTCAAGACTGTAGCGTTTGTATTTGCCACAAGTGCAGTATAGTGAGTCATAGTCGACATTCTTTAGTAGACTTACAGGAGGCTGCCGAAGAACAAAAGATGCAAATGACGCAAGTTTTTGCCAGAGTTAAGGAAAAACTTGTTACCGTGCAGTCCAAGATATCGGAGCAAACTGAACTAATGAAAAAAAGCGAAGAAGAAATCTGCACCGCTGAAGAGAAGGTTACGAAAACTGTGCAAGAACTTATTCGAATTGCGAAGGAACATGAAACGGCTGTAAAAACTAAGATGGCGAAAATTAGAGTCACGCAACAAAGGAGTTACGCAGCAAAAATAGGAAATGTTCAGTTACTCGCTGCTCAGCTTAAGAGCTCTATCGAATATGGCGAAGGTATCGTACAACGAAGCATCGGTTCTGAAATTCTGCAAGCAGGACATGCTGTGCTTGGACGATGCGAGGAACTTTTAACCACACAGGATATTGAGGTATGTAGACCTCAACATGTCGTCTATTGTGTAAATTTGGAAGCTATGAATACTGTTAGAGGCTTGGTTCCGGGTCAAGTATTCGAGACTAACACGGATCCTTCACAGTCATCGGCAGAAGGAAGAGGTTTAATCGAAGCACCAACAAAAAATGAAACTAACTTTACAGTCACCACGCGAGATTCAAAGGGAAGTCAGTGGTATAATGAACAAGACCAACTGACTGTAATAGTCCGCTCTCAAAAAGGAGAAGAGGAGGAAACGAAAATTGATGACTGTAAGAATGGAAGCTACGTAGTGCGTTACAAGCCAAAGAGTGGTGGCTTACGTGACATTTCTGTTGAGGTTAATGGCCAACCGCTAAGTGGTAGTCCTTGGAGAGTTCAGGCGACTGGTCATCAATACAAAGCTATTCATTCGTTTAGAGGACCGAAACAGTTGATAGGACCAGGCAGCATTGCAGTGAATGAAAGAACAGGAAAGATTGCCCTAGCAGAATATTTTGATCGTAGTGTTAAGTTGTTTGATCGTGAATGTAAATATCTGAGAACAATAGGAAACAAGGGACTTGATTCTGAGAGAATTAAGCATCCTGTTTCGGTGGAATTTACAACATCTGATGAAGTCATTGTCATTCATGAAGGATATTTTGAACCGAGTAAGATGTTCTTGTTCACTGAACATGGCGACTTCATTAAAGTCATCAGTCAGCATTTGATAAATCCTAGGTCCGTATCTGTCAGAGATGATGGTCACATGATCTTGTGTGACTCGGGCGACAAGTCGGTCAAGGTCCTCTCCCCTGACGGAACAGGATTAGTACAGTCCTTCAAAGGACCACACGGTCTTGATTACCCGAATTCTGCTGTTTATCATGAGAACAGGTTTTTTGTCTTGTATGAATATGTTACAGTGTTCAACAACGAAGGACTTTATCTGTATGATATTAGCAAGGAGGAGTCTGTTGTTGGATCGCTTAGAAAAAGCTTGACCATTGACGCGTTTAACAATCTGATCGTGTGTGACGATAACAGTAGTTTTCATGTATTTTCTTTAGATGGAAAATATATTCATTCGTTTAATGAAGGAAATATATCTCCCTGTTGCATCGCTGCTTTTGAAGATAATAAGTTGTTGGTTTACGATTATACAAATTGTGTAATCCATGTTTTGCAGTAGAATCTGAATATTGCGCAGCAATTATTCTGATGTGATTCTTTCAGCGTGATCATTGTTTCTTTTTTTTGTAGTAAGTTAGGACCTTTTTTTCTTCACAGCCAATGAAATATTCCTCACGGGCTCAAAAAAAAAAAGAAGAAATAAAGAATAGAAATTGGACTTGTAAATATTTTAAAGACAGCTTTGTTTTAGTTTTGTTTTGTTTTAGTTGATGCCTTTTTTTTGGCGTTTGTCTCCATTTATTGGTTATATTCGATTATCTTTCAGAGTAAAAATTATAGTGTTCTTTGATTTGCTGTGAAATTATAGTTAAAGGACTTAAAGAGTGTTATCTTGGAAGGGGGGGGGGAGTGAAAAGTTGTTCCACATCGGCGTTTCAAAAAGAAACAACAACAACAACAACAGAAGAAGACTACTTTTCGGTCGAGAGGTCTCATTCGAAGAGGTCCACATATAGTAGGTTGCCTTTACTTGTATCCAGCAGGCTCGTGTTCTTCCTGTGACTAAACAGTTATAGTACCCGGATTGTGTGGATGATTGAAATTGTCTTACACAAGAATTCAGGGCCTATTTTTTAGCTGCTCTCATGGCAACTTAATCTAATTAACTTCTCCCTGAAGAGTTTTGTCACAAATAATCAAAAGGATAAATTTTCAAAGGAGAATGAAAAGTATTCCTAGGAAGCGTGCGAGGAGGCCCTTGTATTAGCGTGTAGGCGCGCACGTTTTGAATCTTTCCCTTCCCCCCCTCCATTAGACCTCCTTGTGATATTTACATTAGTTATACCGTTGAGATTAATTTATTTTAAGGTTTACAGTAATCAATCAAACTGACTCTGATAGGAATACTTATATTGTGTGGGTATTTTTCGTTTAGAGGGCTGATCTCATTTTGCCATACTATTCCCACCCCCAAGAAAAGTTTTCCAAGGCTGACTCACTTTGCTATCAGAGCTTAGCATTACGTAACGAGGTGTATTGACACTCCTCCACTTATGGGATGAATATATGTAGCTCTCTTCTCCCTTATTCAGCATTCGCCAAGTTTCAACAACAGTTCTCTAATACATATTCTGTGTTAAGGAGTGGCACCCAGTTAATACAAAAGCCTCTTGCACAATAATTCAGCACAATAACCCGAACAAGGGTCGAATCAGTCCCCGTTTTTTCAATTTTTAGGATCTTTACAGGCTACTTATTAACCACTCCTACCAAATTTGGGATCAAATTTGGGGGTGGGACTGTTCTTTTTCAGCCTTGTTTTTCCACGATTCAACTTCTGCTGTTACCCGAACCAGAAAATGGCTACGCATAAATCTGTGAGGTCATATTATCATACAAAGTTTTCGCATAAGCTTTAAACCGGGCATTCGTAGCCAAGAAGAAAGATGTGTCCAGAAATGTATTCATTCAGACTTTTTGATCCGGAGTTCGGCGAGTTAGCCGTTTGGGCGTTGTACATGTCTCCCTTAAAACACAGGGAAATAAAATGGCCGACATAGGGAGTTTGCTGTTAGTGTATGTTCGTCTGTATTTCAGGAAGTCTTTTTTTTTTTTGTAGGAGGTTTGTTTCTTGTGGAACTTAACGATGGAATAATATAACTGGAAGATCCCTATTGGTCAAACTCAAGAAAAAGGAGAGGCTGAAATGCAATGGACATACCTTGCAAGACTTCAAACGTCGTTCAGTCGATGGACTGTCAAAACATGAGTTAGGATGTGAAAAAATGAGTCCTAAAATAATTATTGCCCCGGATCATCCTGGAGTTGGACTAAAACGAGCACAAAGAAGGTCAGCAAAGCGTACGAATCTTAAACTGAAGGAACAACTTGCGCTTAAATCAAATTGATTCATTGATGAGATAAAAAAATTCATGTCATGAATTATATCCTATTTCTATATCATCTCAACGATACTAACAATAAAACAAATCCACACTCTAGAACTTACTAATTAACAATGATTTTATTACAGTGTGTAACACAGACACAAACATTGGGAGAGATAGGCGTTTAACCTTTAGTCTTAAATTTCGAATCTTCTTCCACAAAATTGACTTCATTCTAATGAGCCGAAGAATCATTTTTGAAACACAAGAATTGATGAATAACTTATATCAATAGCATTTAAATTAAGATTTTCTTTTAGATAGGTAACTCTCAAGCGAGTTACAAATTGTCACCTTTAGCAGCGATTTTCGACCATGATGCCGTCGACATGTCCTCCGGTCGTATAAGAATTGTCATCTGTACTAGCGTTGCATCCCAAACGCTCAGTCTCTCCGTAGCATGATAATTCTTTTTCCTCCATTTCAGCAAAAGGCTCAACCTCTTCCAAGCTCATTCGCCGCCATCTTCTTCCTTCCCACAACTGGATTATTTTGGCTTTCTTGTTCGTCAGAGCGTGGCGGGACTCGCGCTGTAAATCCTGAAAGAAACTCTTTATCTTGTTAGCCGAGCTTGGGCTCTTTTGAGGCGAAGCATCACTGCCATCTGGTGTTGAAACTTTAGGTTGTTCCTGCGCTGGACTTGTTCTGCCCGACGACGAAAAGTCGTGCTTTGGTCCGGTCGCATTTTTCGGAGTTTTCTGGTCGTTTCTCAAAGAAGTTTCCATTGTTGTGGTAGCTTCTTCAGCTGCCGAGTGCGTCCTCTTCTTTGACTGCTGGATGTTTTTCAACTTTCGAAGTAGTTCACAATTCCAAACCTCACTTGCAAACGCAACTGCACCATTGAAAAACGAGCCTCTTATCACGTCTATACCGTTTCAAAACCACAGAGGAGCTTTTTAAAATTTCAAACGAGTGCATTCCAATAAACCGACACCTCTTCCTTTTTGTACTCAATCAGTCCTTGCGCAAAATTCCGTTCTTTTGCCACACGAATTTGATCTCATATCAACAGAGCTAATTAGTCATGGAACTTGAAGTTCGTGCATGCAACGTTGCCCCGCCTCCCAACTGAAAAGACATCTAACAGAGCACGTGTTTACAGCCGCATGATCTGACAGTTAATTTTTCCCTCTAGCTGCGAGACATTTCCTCGTAATTAAGATATTAGAATTTGGTGTTCGATCAGGATAACAACTTCTACCTGTTAAGTTTGAGTATTCTCATTATCTGTTTGCTGGACGATGTAGGGATATTATTATAGCGAGAAGTTACATGCTAATCACCTCTCAGAGTAACACGGTTATTGTGCTTTTCATTTTATATCTCCTCTCTCTTTCTTGCTACAATTTACTTGCGTCAGAATTAGGCACCTACAAGGAATCTTTTCATTAATTTGACCAGTTGAGTTGTACCCTAATAATATTCCGCCTCTTAAGAGGAAAAAAAAACAACAAGGAAAACAACAAGGACGAGACAATGACAAAAAAAAATCAAACAAATAAACAAACCAAAAATAGGAAGGAAAAAAAACGTACACGCATCGTTCCATGTGTGATTTTTTTAATCAAAATAATCTATGAACAGTATAAGTAACACCTAACTCTACAGTTTTCAAAGTTTAAATGATAATCCTACACAAGGATCCCACTATGTAAAAATGCGCTGCTGCAGAGATTGGT